TTTATTTTGAACTTTCAACATAACTGATCCTCTCTGACTTACCAATGCAAGTGGAATTTCAGATCTTAGTCTGCCAGTAAATATGTCACTCCATAATGCTCTCTATAGTAAGAGAAATGTAAAAACAATCTTAACTTTCTCACTGAGTGTGACTGTCATGAACTCCCATAAGTTATAAACAAAATCCCCAGAGCTGTCAGCAAACTCCTAAGTTTTTTAGTGCACTCCTCTGAGTAGTTATCAGTAAAATCCTCTGAACTGTCAGCAAACTCCCCTCAGCTGTCACTGAACTCCTTTAAGCTGTAAACAAACTCCCCTAAGCTGTCACTGAACTCCTTTAAGCTGTAAACAAACTCCCCTAAGCTGTCACTGAACTCCTTTAAGCTGTCAACAAACTCCTCCGAGTTTTTAGTGCACTCCTCTAAGTAGTTTGCAAACTTCCACAGTTTGGTGACAACTCGGAGGAAATCGGCCCTGCATTAAGTGACCGATGTGTGCAATGCTATAACTGAGCTAAATGCACTGCTCCTCTCTTCAGTAACTCTTACCTGAACCTAATACAGTATTTGCTACAAGTCATGCATACAAGAAAGCAGAGGCAGCTGGTTTAACTAACTACATTAGTTACTCTTTATTTTTTTTGCATCTTTAATAATTATTTCTTATCACCTCAAATTCAGGTCTTGTTGCCAGTGCTTCTCCAATGGCCTTCGCAGCTTCTACTCCTATGGTGTTGCCTTCTAAACACAAGGCTTGGACATCTTTGCTTGCCTTGATTGTATTTACAACCTCTGCAGCTAATATATTTAAAAGAAAAAGACCCGGTACATTGGTGACCACTTCAAGATTTTAGAATGCTACATGGTAACTTAGAAGTTAAATTGAGAACTGGGAAGAGCATGCACGATGGCATCTCAACAGACAGAAAATAAACATTTATGCTACAACACCTGAAGAGGTTCTCAATCCCTATCAATGTCATGTTCTTTGTTACTTAGCAACTTGCCACAAGTCGAATTTTTGCCGATAATTTTTTTCTTACAATCATATTCAGAAATAATCCTTTCTGCATGAAAATGTCCTCAGACTAAAAGATTAAAACGACCTGTCGAGTTCGTGTTAATTTTAAGAGCTCAACAGAGCGCTGTCCAACTTATTTATCCGCCGAATAGTATCACAAAGGCTTACCATCATCAGTAGTGTTCAACTTGATACTTTTTCCTTTGAAACTTACAACGTTGACTTGTTCGACTTTAGTTTTTGCTAGTAAATCAGCGACATCCCTAATTTCGTCCTTTTTTTCAGTAGTCTCACCCATCTTTTTCAATACCTAATAAAATCGCGAGTTTTTGTCTAGAAAAGTGACAAGTCTTACTGGATTTTTAAAATTGTGAAATGAGATCAAAATGAGGAATAGTTGTCCGCGTACATGTGCTACCCTCTAACGTTTTTCGGCCGGTCACAACTACAAATTAAAAGAGAGAGGTCTGGTACGCTAATGAGCACTTAAGCGCCTGGTGTAGTTCGCAACACCTCCGTAATGTGGCATTGCAGGCTCGTACATATTTTTTTTATCCTACGACATTCTACAACATAGCACCGTCTGGTGTCGAATTCTATTCACCTGGTAATTTTGCTTCTTTTGCTCCTATTACTACTCAAGCTACCACGGTTCCTATCCCTACCCCTGCTGTTACTACTCTTTCCTCTAATCACGTAACCCAGATCCGTTTTTTTAACCGTGTATTTTGGCCGTGAAAGGTCTGGGTACCAGATACTTTTCCGCCCTGCCATCCCTCTGATTCCTTTGCTAGTTTTCACACTCTTTCCTAACTTGAAGATACGAAAGAGTATCCATTAAAACTTTAATTTTCTTTGTAGAGGCTGCTATAGAACAGTTTAATTTGGCTTTTCCAATCTTTCTCTTCCACTTAATAGTTCTTTTCTAATAGTTAATAGTTCTTAAGACTCCTAATAGTTCTTATAAGAAAACAGAAAACTAAACGAAGAAAAACAGCCTCTAAATATCTTGCTAATGAAAAGGCCTTAGAGAGAATCACGGACGACCCGTGTTCAAGAGACATTGCTTCTAGAATACTAGACTCTCCAGCTCAAGTGGTCGACAGGAGAAAATACAGGGGTTATTATACTTTCTCTGGCGACATTACGATGTGAGGCGTCTGCATTCAAATCGACCAAAATTACTAAAATTCAATTTTAAAAAAGTCACCTCGAAGGAGGGGGGCGGAAGGTTGGGGAGTGGAGGGGGAGGGGTGAGACAACGAGGTTTGGACCCCAGACGGATCTCGACAGAAGTGAGCTAAGAATGGGCTCTAATTTGGCGGTTCTGTCAGATTATGTAATTTCTGACGTTTGAGTGACGAATTAGTCAGAAATTAATATTCTGACGGCACGTTGAAGAGGTTCGCGTGGCATCACGGTAGTTTCAGATTATTTAAGCGTTTCGCGGGAAATTAAGTCATTCTAGGTCGGTCAGTCTTAGCTTTGATCACTTTCTTTTTTCTTATTTAATGCAATTTTGTTTACAACTCTCTGTAAAATATCACTGCCTTCATTGAGTTTTCTGTGTGATTAGTGGTGTATTTAGGTTTATTTTAATTACCCTTTCCTCGGGGTACAGTGCTGCTGCATTAGATGAGGAATACGTTTCCACATATTTTTGGCCACTTCTAAAGGGTGGTTTTTTTTGTGGTTTTTCGTATCTGGCGTAGCACAGGCTATTTTGTATAGCCCTTTAGTTTCAGTAATACTTCCAGTACATTGTAGATTCTAGTAGTAGGATGCGTATACTACAAGGCTGGCTGACTCAAACTTTCACATTGAACATCTCGCCTGAGTGTAGTCAGAATGAATCGTTTTATTCGTAAGCTGTTTCTTGCAAGTTTCCTCACGTGCGTATGTACGTATGTGTATGTGCGTATGTACGTATACTGTATTTCCTCGAATATGCGTTCTCCCCCAAATAAGCAACCACCCCCGTCCCTTGGCCATAAGATCAAACAAGCGCCTGCAGTCGAATAAGGGCCCTACCTCCTCCCTCATTTTCTCAAGTAGTCAGTATACAAGGGAAACCTGTTGCTATTCCTTCTTAAATCATAAAGCTAGTACAGGTTGAAAATTTCTCAATAAGCACCCCCTTCGATTAAGCGCCTTCCTTCCAAAAAGGTTCCCCCCCCCAGCCCTACCCCACTGTACATGGTCTATACATGGTCTTGCACCCGACTATCTTGGTTAATGGTTCTCTTTTCACTAAATATGATCCTCCTTATAATCTAAGGAACTCTCAAAACAAACTAGCAGTTCCATTGCCCCGCACCAATTTCCTGAAAAATAGCTTTAGCTATAACGGTGCGGTTATCTGGAATAGCTTGTCCCCTGAATTGTGGCAAGCAAAATCACTTCAATCAGTTTCGAAATGGTTGTCGCAATTTCTTCGTCTGAATCGACAAAACGCACACAGCATCTATGTAAAGCAGAATTTCTTTATTTTTTCTATTTCACTTTTAAATTTTAGATCATGTTTTTATAGATTAATAATAGATTGTAATAATATTATTATTTTATCTGATAGATTTACCGTGTCTAAATAAAAATAAAGTTCAAGTTCAAGTTCAAGCTGTTAGCCGAAATTTTAATTAAGTGTCCGAGCCCTTTTTTAAGAAAATATGAAAGTTCCTTGAGACCTGAAATGTGTAACCAAAACAGAGAAGTCAAAGAGGTTTATTCGCTGAACCAATCTAGAGAAATGTAACGAAATGGCTCGTGTTCTTATCCAGTAACCGTGGAAAGGTCACGTTTTCTGAAACGCGACCTAATAGTTTTCCCAGCAGGTCATGCGCGCGGAAGGGTTCGTTTGTTGCGTCATTGGATCAGTTCCTGGATCATTTACGTTAGATTTGTGGGGGTAGCCGTCTTTCATCAAATTTCTGACGTCGATAAAAATTTGCAATATCCTGTCCTAAAGGCAAGGTCATTCAAGACTCTCGACAAGTAGCCATAGCACTGACGTCATTGGGCCTATCCCAGGGGACTTTGTACTGTTTTGAGTCACATGATTGTCAAGAAATTAATCGAGCAGGGTGAAATGGCTAGACTTTGATGTCAAGCGGAAAAGGAAAGTTAGCTGAGGTATTCAGGAGAGGTATCTATTACTGAGGTTGAAGAATAGGCAAGGTTTAAATTCGAGCAGCCTGAAAGTGAGGTAAGCGTAGAGAGTGAACAATTTTTTGGTTGGAAACCAACCGCCCATGCGAACATATGTTGTCATGCAACTTTTCATACCAAATTATGCTTTGCCGTATTCCGCTTAGATTCTCGCCATTTTCAGTCTTTTCTCTTTAATACACGTTATCGTCCACCAATGATGCTATCAAATTGTTTGAAAATAGTCGAAATGGGCCAGTTTTTGTCTTCTGCCGAGGTTATGTGGTGGGTTTCTCGGAAAGAAAGATTATGGCGGACTGTTGCGATGTTTTGACTCTTGTCTTAATAAATATTGAATCATATGCTGATATTAGAATTATTGTGGTGCATAACTTAATATAAATAAGGGCCAGTGAAGCAAAATCTTAAGTTTTTGCTTCGTAAAACTGATCAGCAGCGTTTGAGAGTTATGTTATTTTAATTAATGAAATCTTGTTACGGACCAGTCTTTCAGCAAGAACGGAACATGTAAATTTTGAAACATTTCGTTTATCGAGCTAAGTTTAGATTTAAATACAAAGGAATCGATTAGATGTATTGATCCGTGTATTGAACTTACGCATGAGAATTTCCACTTCAGTGTTAATATGGTGGCAAAGAAAACATGAACATCTTGTTCAAAATTAGTTATAGTTTTGTGAATATTTCATTTATTATCACTTGCGTGGGCAAAAGTGGGTTGGGTTGGGGGTTGGTAGGTGGGAGGGGGGTTCCTTCAATGATAGCAAAAAAAACAAGGCTCCCTAGGGAATACGGAAAGATTGCACCTTATTAACTTGATTGCCTGTCATTCCTGTTCAACTTGTATGATATTACGCTAAGGAATTATTTTCATAATGATACAATAATATCCACTAGGCTTTGAAAAAAATTGATTTAGATAGGTTATTTCTTGGAGAACACAAGTTGATGCTAAGGGGGACAATTCACCAACAATGTCGAGGGAATTTGTGGCTATTTTCAGTTTTAGTATTCTGCTCTTTTATATATTTTATCAAAATGTTCTATTCAGAAGGAAAAAAATGTTAAATACCTGATGACCTGTGACTGAAACACAAAGGAAGTCTTGAACCTTCCTCTGTTGATTTTAGGCCTCAAAATAAGTCATGGTTTTCCTAGGCATTTCTTTTCCAATATCCTGCTCATCAAGCAACTGAATATTATAAGGAAATTGTTAAATATTGCTTTGTTGAATGGATGCTGTATAGACCAAGAGCCTAATATTCTTTTACTTTTCACTTTTCAGGATGACAGAAGTAGAAGGCAGTCCAGTTATGCCCGAACCAGAATGGGCCAAGCCAAGAGATAAGAATGCACCTCCTACGGTAAAAAACTTCTGTCGATAATTATTGTATAATTACACAGAGCTTCAAACCTGTCCACATTGTGTAATGTTTGTACAAGATCCAAAAACAAAATCTTTTTTATCTTTTTTTCTTAGGATAACAAGTCTGTGATAGCTGCCTTGAAGAAAACAGCTTTTGTAGTTGGTACAGCATTAATTTGCTTTGCAGCAGCAAGAAACACCATCACTTGGTAAGAAATCATACATACTACAATAAAATACAGTTCTTTGTGCACCCTAGCCTGCAGTGCCGGCGTATTTTGAGCGCACGAGTGCACATTTTCGTATTAGGCCGCAATCTTAGATTTGGTAACAGTGGAGGATTGCGGCGAAGAAATATTTGCCGAGGGAGTAGGTGTTAAGTAGAAAAATGGGCAACGGGGGAGAGGGAGGGGAAGGAAAAAATACACCTGCCCGCAAAGCCTGTGATTTCGCAAAATGCCCCCTAATTAGCAGCGATTGACCGCCTCTCCGGAAATGTGCAAGCAGCCAATGATAATCGATTTTTGCTTTTACCGGATGGAAGCCAAAAATTTACTTCCGACAAAAACATTGACACACGTGTATTTGTCAACTTCGTGTGAAACAGAATTGAGCGAGCGAGTATGTGAGTGAAGTTATGTCAGAAAGATGTCCTAACGACAGCTGTATGATTTGCAAAAGCTCTATTAAAGTGAAATTTGGAAACATTCCGGGCAAACAAGTGTACTCGTCCTCGGAAAACCCTTTTAGACCATCGCAGAGGAAGGACAGCCTTGGAGTTGTTTTAGCAGAGGTTTGTAGTCGTGTAGGATTAGTATTATTGCAGGATCCTGTAACATATTCTGATCGCGTTTGCAACCTGTGTAGCCGGAAAACTGGCAGTCTTGGCCAGTTGTTCCAGTTTGTCAAAGCGAGCCCTTCATGGAGAAAATCAAAACTATTTGCTGTTTTCAACATCTTGTAAACTAGCACCAGCAAGGGATGTCGCCCTCAAACACACTAAAGATGCTTCCGCCAGCTGATCTTGCAGGATGCTTTTGAGTGGACAGACAACAATCACACACACAGCTTTCAACGATAAGATTTGCTTCACTCGGATCAACAACTGGAAGATGAGGCTTTACCAAAGCCTGTCAGAAGCACTGCTAGTAAATCCCTTCCATGAACAAGAGAAGAAATCTCTTCCTTTTGTTCTGGGCTTAATACGAGGGACATACCGAGCTCAGAGAGAAATAAAAGCGCTTCTGCGAGAGCGGCATAAAAGCTTAGGGTATCCGCCATTTTCTCTCCAAATCACTCCAGCTCCCAATTCCGGAACGACCGGAAGAAAACTACTTTAGATGACAGGCATCAATCCAGTTTCAACCTACCGCACCAATCAGAGGCCCCGTCTATCTGGTGTACGGGTTTTGCAAAATCACAGGCTTTGCCGGCAGGCTTATTTTTTCCTTCCCCTCCCTCTCCCCTGTTGCCCATTTTTCCACTCAACACCTACTCCCTCAGCAAATATTTCCTCGCCCCAATCCTCCACAGTTACCAAATCTAAGATGGCGGCCTAATACGAAAATGTGCACTCGTGCGCCCAAAATACGCCCGCACTGCAGGCTATGTGCACCCCTCCATGATCATCCACAGATGTCTCTTTGGAAGCTGGTCTCTTGTGAGTCTTCCACCCAGGGGTTGCTGCAAAATGGTTCTTAATCTTCCTCTGTCCAGGACCTTCCACTTTACTATTATTAAAAGTTCTCTCTTGATCATGCTTTGGTGTCATCTGTCCCCCTCCACATTTTGGTATTAAATTTTTTAACATATAGCAGTTGATGAACTAAACTGGTAAATCATTAAGAATGACTAGCATCTAGATTCTCTTAGTGTGTGATTCCCCTGAATCAAACACTAAGGTCACAAGAATAAAGGAAATTATTGCGAACTAAAATGCGCATGATTGTTGAACAACTTTTCCTTTTCAGCAACTTGGGAAATGTCTAGAGAACAGCATGCTGTCCTATCCAGTGGGTGAAGCCCTGGACGAAATGCACCTCAATTGAAAGCCAAAATACATGTTGTAATTCAGAGTTTTTAGCTCTTCAACAATCTCTCTCCTTGCCTTTGATAATATTATCAGAAGCAATATGTTCACCTATTGTCTCTGATTCAAATAACAATCTGTTTAATCACAGGCATGTGGAACGTGTTTGGGGAGCCTCAGGGGATCTGTGGCAGGGATGGTGGACAAAATTCCACTCATTATTTGGTGGAGATGAATTTTTACTCACAGTTGTTGGTGAGAGGACTTGTGTATTTTTCACAGTTATCACTTGTCTATTGATTGCTTGACCTGGATGTCCTCTGGTTGAATATATTTTGCAATCTTCCTTTATCCCAAACTATGATATTTGAGACAGAGCAAAGTAGAAAATAAATGAAACTGCTTCAGTGATTTTCAAGCCAAAAAAGATATTTTATATGGATAAGACTAAAACATGGGCATCTCAAATGAAAAAAAAAAATCCTTTGCATTGACCTTCACCAAGTAGCCACTTGGCACTATGAAATCTTAAACCCTTAATCCCTAGAAGTGACAGGCATCTTAATTCTCCTTACAGCATCACTGCTTAGTCAAATGAAGGTGATGAGAATAAAAGAAAAGATGGCCAACAGAAGATGCTCTGTATAGTTACCAAAACTCTACTTGACAGTACTTTACGTGTAGGAAATCTATTGAAAACAATAAGGAGAATATGCATGCCAATGTCACATCTATTTTGCTGTCTTAACTAAAACAAGTTAACATCTTTCACTCATTTGTGTGTTTATTTTTTTAGGAACAAATGTGGTGACAATTGCTGTATTTTGGTTGTTCAATGCATTTTATTTATTCCTGGATCTTACTGGCTGGCCCAAGTGGGTACTGCAGTATAAAATACAGGATGGAACCAATCAGCCGGTAAATCATGTTGATGTAGTGAAATTTAAACTGTTGTTATTAGTGTTGAAATTTAACCCTTTCACTTCCTTAATTAATACTGTACAATGTCATTGCATTTTCAAATAGAAAGGTGATGAAAAAAAAAAAAGAAAAATATCATTGATGTTGAATTGTTTTATTTAGTATCAAATTCTATTGGTGGAATCACAAGAAAAGTTGTACAAAGTGCAAAGAATTAAGATTTAGGATGAAAGAGTACAAGTGAAAGGTCTTAAGTAAACTCAACAAGGTATTACTGATTTTTGGGGGGTGGAGTCCTCCTTAATTAAGACTTTGATTTGAGTATTCCTTTTTTAAAAAATGCTTAATTTGAGTTCAAAATAAAGAAAAAGGAAAAAGACTGCTTCAGAAAATTTGAAAACATGGAGAAATTTTTATTGACAAGAAGTCAAATCTTTAGATGGTTATAACTTATTGAGAAATTCTTAGTTTAAGAAGTCAGAAATACCAGCTGATTTTGAAGAAGAGTTTGAATACAAGTTATTTTATGTCATTGTATGTTCTCTTTAAAATCAATCAGAGAGTGGAAACCACAGTCTTGTATCAACAGGGTGCCTTTTTTTATTTTCAGCTTGATCGTAAAAAGCTCATGCGTGCCGTGAAGTTGGTTTTGTTCAACCAGATTGTAGTTGGGGGCGTTTTCTCTGTTGTCCTGTACCCTGTGTACACGCGGCGAGGCTGTTCCTTTGGACCAGAATTACCATCCTTCCAATGGGTACTGTTTGAAATTGCAATTTTCACCTTAGTGGAGGAAGTTGGTTTCTACTACAGCCACAGGTACATGCCAATAAAAAGTAGATTTTGAACTTCAGAAATCAACTTCCGGTTAGCTCAATGGATAGAGCGCTGGACTGTTGTGCGGGAGGTCGAGGGTTCAAGCCCCGGCCGGACCAACACTCAGGGTCTTAAAATAATTGAGAAGAATTTGCTGCCTTTCTATAACCTCAAGAAATGGTTAGATATTCTAGTCTTCTTGGATAGGGACGAATAAATGGAGGTCCCGTCTCCTGCAGGGTTGGGGTAGGAGACGTTAATTTCCCACACACGAGATTACTGTGTGATGGATGTCCTCCCCTGGGGTGGGATGGAAACAGGTGTTTTGTGCTCAAATCTTGTCCCATGATTAGCTTTGATGAATTGGCAACAACAATTTGTGTTGATCACATGTTTAACAAATCAGACTCTTGCTTTGCAGGTGCCTGATTTTGTAAATCAGTAGTTGGTATGATTTAAGACCAAATTGGATTTTACTCAGTCCTAATTCCATAAAAAATTTGGGTAAAATTGAAGAACAGCTTCCCAAAATATCAGTCGGCCAACTATTGGCAAATGAAACACAAAAAACACAACGAAAACACAGGCTCATGCAATTTTGTGAGTCTTTGAAAAAATTTACTTGTCAGTGTCAAATCTAACTAAACTCTTCCAATTTCAGTGGAACGAAATGCATCAGTCACATATTACAAATCAAGTTCACATAAATGAATATCGATGTGGCCAATCAATAATGCCTTGCACCCACAATTTACTTCTATCACGTGGTGTTCGTCAAAATTCATTTTGAGGTAATTGTGAAAAGTCAAACTTCCCAAGATGACAGTCTATTTACTCCTTTCTGAATTTGTTTTCGTTATGTTGGCCACCTGTTGGTGAACAGTTGGCCAACAGACATTTTGGGGTGGAATAACAGTTAATTTTTCACATTATATTGTGCCAAATGGAAGTAGTTCAAGGTTCACAATTAATAATCTTTGCAGTTACCAGTTCTTTCCTACCCAGTAGACCAAGTGCAAGATGTGAATGAATGTACCATAAATCCTCCATTAAGCCCACCCTTCTGATAAGCCACCCCCCTCTTTAGAGGAAGAAATTTATTATGCCCCACCCTCTAGTAAGCCCTTCCCCCTCAAAAAGCAAAAATTCCAAAAACTCCCTATATTAGTAAGTATGATAAATTTATTCAAGTGTTGTGATTTTAGTTTCTCATGTAAAGTTGATTATGGTGATTGATTGATTGATATCATCTTGTTGGCATCAATTGAATAAGGTCTACGAACTTTACATCAGACTGAGGGTTTTAACTCTGCCAATTTGGTAAGTGAAAAAAATGTAAAATCAGAACAATTTTTGAATAAATACAGTATATCCTATGGTATCCTGGTAGGAAACATTGAGCTAATTCAATAAGCCCCCCCCCCCTCTTAAAATATACCACTCCCCAAAGTACCTGAAGTAAATAGGCCCCCTAGGTACAAATCAACTGAATTTGGATATGAAACATGCATTGGAACCAGGTTACAAACGATAGAAATGCACTCGAAATACTCTTCACACCATGATTTTATTTCAATAACTGACACTTTAACTTTGACATTTTGCTGAAAATTTATCGCTATTGTTAAGTAATATACACCTTGACACTATTTATATCTTGCAAATTCTGCAATTGCCCTGAGATTGTGGCATTTCATTACATCCATAAACATGTCTTAAAGTACATGTCATGGCCAAAATTTGTACTACTCATTCAAATTGTTAAAATGACATAATTGAAAACAGTCATATGCATGTAATGCACCACTTATTAGAATTTGATGATTATATTGAAAAAATAAATCCTTTTAATTTGTAATAAACACAAGCATTCCACAAGAATAAAATACAATTAACTTACTTTAAGCAAATTATCCAGCTATAATGTATGATAGATAATAAAATACTTGCTTACAATTCAGTGTTCTCCAGAGATTTTTTTTAAGACACCAGCCTTGCAAAATACTATACATCAAATTTATATATCTTATTAACCAAGCGTGAGGGCCGTACTGGGAGAATATCGGCCTGAGGTCTCGACAGTAAACCCGAACGCAGCAAAGTCCATACAAATAAGACCGAGGGCCCATATTCTTCCAGTATGGTCCCGAGCAAGCTTGGTTAATAAGAGATTTATTACACGACTGAAGTTCAAAGGGACACAAGTGCGGTATCATTCGGGACCATTCGGGGCAATGTCCGGTCCAATACTGAGAGAATATTGATCAGCAATAGAGCATTTTGATTGGTTGATTTTAGTTATTGGCCCTCTGACTTCCCGAGTCATGTAATAATATAATTTATTTCAGGTCAAGACAGGTATTTTAATGCTTTGTAGCACGCACTTAGGAAACAAGTGGCCAGCACAAATGCCACTCGCCAGAATTGCTGGAGAACACAGATGTTTCAAACATCATTAAGTCTTCTACAACTTTGCAAAGATCATAATTATTTCCATGATCAATAATCTTCTCTTGCAAATATGACACAAGTTCTTCCTAGATTCCAAAAGACAAGTGATATGCTGTATTTAAGAAATAATAACTTTAAGTACTTACTACAAAAAACAAAACATTTCTTCAATGAACAATCGCAACAATAAAACTAAAGCCAGATGCTATATGACATAAAAAATAAAAATGTTAATAAAAATTGCACACATCATTAGTAGCAAGGTGTTGAGTTCCCTTAGCAGACAAAAGTAAGGATTTTCCCACACAAGGAGATGCATGGAGATAGAGAGAACTAACAAGTGTCTCATAATTGAACATTAAAAAGAGTGGTATATCAGGAACTCAGTCTTTGACAAACCAATTCTTACTAATTTGAATTATTTTTTAGTGTTAATCTGAAAAAAAAGAAGATCTACATTGATAAGCTACCACTAAATCATGATAACTGTTGGCTCCATCAAAGCTCTCACACGGGAGAATGAAAATCTTAGTTCTCTTTTTTTTTTTTTTTATAGACATTTACATATTAATATTCATCTATCTCCGTGCCATTGCAGTACTGGATGGAAGAATGACAGGCAAAGCAATAACTTACTTTCTTTGACATTTTCTACCCTGCCTAGTTGCACATTCTTGTTTTCGTATAATAGTAAATAATGTCTATTAGCAAGTTGTTGGGATGAATTGAACCATTACATATTCAGCTGGAAACATTGGCTTTTAATTTCCTATTCATCTATGCTTTCAACATCAGGGAAACTAGCTGAGAGGCGATTACTATTTTGTTTTGCTATTGAGAATGGACCACCCTCATCAGTTGGTGTACATGGAGGACTCGTGCTATTGACCAGACGCCACTGTAATTCTTCATTTTCCAAGGAAAGTCTCTTGCTTTTGGCTGACTCCCTTTCCAAACTATTCCTTAATGTGTCTCGCTCAACAGAAAGTTGCCTAAAATGAAAGTGATGTCCAACAATTATGTCACAGCATTCCTCCACAACACAAGAAGCCCTAGATCTTGAAATAAACTCAAGAAAGAAAGCCCATTTAAAATAAAGTTGAAAGTTCACGTGGGATTTTTTTAAATTTGATATGACTGGAGGTGAGCCAGAAAAAGTTGGGGCTCACTTAAAACTTCCAAGGTTAAATAAAATTCAGTAAGGATAGTTTTATCTTGAGGTCTGCCTTAATTGGTCTGTTTGGCTTTCTACCAGTATTTCATTTTCTTTTCTGTCTAATCTGTAGGATGGGACTTCAAACTGAAAAGCAGCTAAAAATAGCAACTTGTCCTCATTCCCAAATTATGGCTTTGTACAATGTTCCTCGGGTAGTAGCAGCACTCAACTAGTGTCTGGAAGGCACAGGTTGTAATCCCATCAAAGCCTGAATTTCTTTTAATAGGCTTATTTTTTCTGCAATTACTAATAAAAGCTGCAGTCCACCTGCCAGAATCATTTCTTGGCTTGAATTTCATCTCTGTGCAGGTCAAAGGAAATTCATTTCAAGACAAGTTGTTAATTGCAACTTTTTTCTCTCACAATATTTGTCTCAAAGAGTTTAACTATAACACAACTTTGTGTGGATTCACCCATTGTTCCAGGCTCACACCCATAAATAATTGACCATGAGCAATGTTAGTCTCTCCCAAATACTTTTAAGTATCTATGATGACATTTATGACTACATTAATGCATGATCAGAGGTAGTATAATTATGCCCAGCTCCTTCCTTGCATGGAAAAATTGTACACACCTCTCAAACCTTGACTTTGTCTCCACCACAAAAGATAACGACTCATTTTCTTGCTGAAGTTTCTTTGTTTTTGCTTTGACATCTTCAAGTTTCTCCAACTGAAAGTCAACCAAATGTTAAAGCAGCATAACATGTCAACAAATTTATAAATAAAATTATAACATAGCATACTTCTGGACTGACACTCATACTGAACTCTGTTTTGCACAAAAAACATTTCTGAAAGTACAACCAACCCTCTTCATCCCAAATTTGTATCCATATTCGCCATGCTCTTCTGCATTTCCTTTGATAATGCATGATAAAGAGTATTCATTCAACAATCAAAGCTTCGTAGGTTGGCCATCAGTTCCTTTATCCGCATACATGTTGTTAATAAATAACTACAGTTACAGTAGTATTACTGTAGAGGGAAATCAGATGATAATCACTCTTCAACAGAGCTGAATAACGTACACGCATGTGCTAGATTTTGCTGTGGAAGCACGGATTTTGAGTTGTTCGCATTAATTATTTCCTATTCCGTTGCTTGGAGGTGTCATTTTCCTTGCTGCTTTTCTTTTACAGAACAACCTGCAAAAAATTGGTACACCCCCTAAAAATTTTCAAAAATTAATTTTCTCCTTAAAACCTCTGGAAATAGGAAAATGCCTTTGACAAAAACAGAGTTCCTCAGTTTTAAAAGTCAGCCCTTATTATTTTCTGCTAATTTTGCAAAATTTTAGAACTAGGACACTTGAACCCGCATTGTTGACCGCAACTCACTGACATAGCATTTCATTATTCAGCTCTGTCTCACTCTTCTGGATTATAGGATAGTAAGTACATATATACCTCCAGATGCTTCTCCATTTTCTCCTTCCTCAACTGCCTTATCTCTTCGTTCTTCATTTCCAGCACGGCTTTTAAGCTTTCAAGTTCAGCTGGCAAAGACTCATACTTTTTGATGGCTTCCTGAAATTTGAAAGAAAAAGCCACAAACATCACCAATACTAATCATAACCAATGAAATGGAAGAGAACAAGTTTTTAGTGAAAATATCAAACATGTTTACCTGTATTCGGGTCTCAATATCCCTTTGATTATCATCCTGAAGCTGCTGAAACTTTCTGTTCAATGAACCATGCTCACTCAGTAGCTTGTCATATTTTTCCTGAAAAAAAAAAAAAAAAAGGGATCAGAAGATAATACACTTGCTGTTACAATATACAGCCACTGTCAACACTCTCAAGAAGGAGACTCACATAGACTGAAGCGATATTTTAAGATTAAATGACAAACTCTTAACCCTTTTAAGTGCCAAGATCTTATTTCCTATTCTCCATATTTGGTACACATTTCCTTGTTAATCAGTTGCGAGTGTTTGGTGTTAGTTCAAGATAACAACTTCTACTTGATAAGTTTGAGTATTCTCATTTGCCTTTTTGTTGGATAATGTGTGGATGTTATACATGATGTTATAAATTCACTAACAGAAAAATGAGAGCCTGGACAATAAAATCATACTCCCTGATTACCTTCATTTCTGACTGCTGTTCTTCATAATCTGCTTTGATGGTTTCTATTTCCACTTGGTGTTCCTCAACAAGCTCTAGAAAAAGAAACATTACATACAGTAGTTAGAACAGTAATATTCAATTGATTATATTTGTAAATCCAACTTGAAGAACATCTAGAATACATAACTACACAGTTGTTTCATTCTAGCCTAGCAATTGTCTGATGCAAATGAGAAACATCTCCATGTAAATAAGTAAGGCATGAAATATGTTTACAAACATGAAATATGTTTACAAACATGAAATATGTTTACAAACATGAAATAAATTTACAAACATGAAATAAATTTACAAACATGAAATATGTTTACAAACATGAAATATGTTTACAAACATGAAATATGTTTACAAACATGAAATATGTTTACAAACATGAAACATGTATTGGAAATAGAATTTCCTGATGATTTAACATTCAAAATTTTACCAGATAAAGATACCTCTGGAACACCCCTACTGGTAATCACCTGGGAAAGGAAAATTATACCTCAGATCATGGGAACTGAGTTGCCATTGCAGGAGTTCCATTTATTTGACTATAATAACTGTTACCACGCAGCTACAACTGACTTACCATCAACTGCACTAGAGTGTTTGCTATCTAAGTCAGCAATTTCATCTTGATGCTTGTCCTTTAAGGATGCTACGAGTTCATCATGAGTCTTCCTCATTTGTGCCACCTATTCAGAGAAAAGCAGGAAGTCAAGTTTTGGACATCTAACAGAATCTAGATTTTAAAACCACAGTGCAAACTTTTGAGATCCCAGACAAAACTAAATCAATTTTATAAAGCCTAAAAGTTACACAGTTAGTCCTTAAAAATAACCCTTCAACTCCCACAAGTGACCAAGACAGTATTTCTCCTTACAATATCAATACAATATCAAGCAGACAAGTGATGAGAATAAAGAAAATCATCAATTAGGGAAGTTTTAGTTGATCCACGACCAAATTCTCCGCACTAAGATCGTAACAATTGTATCATAGACAGTAAGGAGAATTTCTAATCAGATCTTGGGAGTGAAAGGTTAACACCTGAGAGTGACTAGCATCTCACTTCTCCTTACATTTATTTTTTTTTTTTATCACCCCTGAATCACACATCACAGTCATGAGAAAAAAGGAAATGATCACCAACTAAAGAAACTTTTGGTTGTCAAACAAATTCTCCTTGTCAGCACCTTAAGAAACAAAATAGAGAACAGTATGGAGAAGATACATACTCATGTTAGGGTTGTGTAAAGGGTTAACTTACCTGTTTCTCCTGCTCTTCCTTCATTTCATGTACTTGTGATCTGTGAGTTTCAATAGCTGGAAGATAAGGGCAACACAACTTACAAAATGATCATTTCAATAGTTAATAAAATTGACGATCAATTGCTAATGATTGATCTATTTTACCTAACTGAATTTCTCCCTCGTGTTTACGCTTGAGCTCTGAGCTTGTCTCCTCTAGCAGGTTTTCATAGTCGGCCTTTAAGGTTTCAATAGCAACTGCATGTTCACTTCTCTGGTACATCATCTCTTCTTGTAGCTTGACACAATTTGCTTCCTCTTCAACTGCAAGACAGGAATTTCTAAGCATTTATAGTAGAACAGAAATAATATGCTGGTTGACCAGCTGTATCAAGAAGCTGAGTTGACATAGACATACCAAGTTTCTCCTGAATGACTTTCATCTCCTGAAAAGTTGATTCAATTTTCCTTTGGAGCTGATTGCTGTACTTTTGACACCAAACCAGCTGTGGATTTGAAATAAAATGCCTTGAATTACGACTTTAACAAAGATATACCAAGCTTTTTTTCTAGAGAACCACCCTCTATAATTGCATCCACCTAATTGGACTCCCCTCCCAGACAATATCTTCAATAGCACTGACACCTTACTTCACACATATCTATCTGGATGACTCTTAATATTATTAAGAATCACGTAATTTACAATAGTTGGCTAAAGCTTTTGTTCTTATACATCAAAGGGGGTGGGAAGGGGAGTCAGGGGGGTGTGAGAATCTTGCCTATCTTTACAGTCCCCTTCTGGGCTTTCCCACCTTGGACTCACTACCTACTACTCCTTTTTGCAAAGCAATGCCAATCAATGATGGCCATGAACTTTGTCTCTTGTTCCTTTCCCTCGGAGTACCTGCTTTTAGCCCTTTTCTTATCTTTCTACCCCACATCTCCCATCCACTTCAAACTATAAAACATGTTCCTAGCCCCAAGTCCCATCTACAGTTTATGATATGAATTCTTTATGCCCACATCAGTGGTGCAAGATTTCTCACCTTACGTGAAGTAGTCAGAATCAGCAGAGATGCTGCCACAAAGTCATTACTATTGTTGTCAATTTGATCCTTTAGCTGGCTGCAGAGATCCGTCCTGTGTTTCAAAAGCTCACTGAGATGCTGTGCTTTCTCCTTGACATCCTCAATAGCTTTTAAATGACTTGTATCCTCCACCTGAATTCCAACAGAATGCTTTATCAGGTATGGTGTCTCACTTAAAATATCCGGTGGCATTGTTCTGCAGGGTACTTCTAGTGGAGAACTGGCAAGTACCATTGTTGTAGAACCATCATTTTCATCTAAGTTGTGCAAAGCAGTGTCTCCCTCAAGAGAAAAGTTGTCTTGCTGTGAATTTCTGCTTGAGAAATCTCTTGCACTATGGCTGAAAGTGTCAGAGTGGACAGATACCGTATCACCCTCAGAATCAATGAAGTCATCTAGGTGATCTTGGTCTCTGATGCTGCTTGTTACCGATACACTGTCGCTAGCATTGCTAAGCTGTCCTGAAATCTTTCTGGGCAGTTTTGAGGACCCCTGCTTTTGACTTGCTGGAGTTTGTTTTGTATGTTGTTTTACAACTTGCAGGGGCTTTTTATTGGATGAGGCTGATGCTGTCTGTCTGTTGACTGCTTTTGAGGGTGCCTGTGTTTTCTCTGCAAAACAAACAAATGCAGCAGAACAAACTAATTAATAGATAAAATATAAATAAATTTAGGGGGCCTCTTAAAATTGAGAACTAGACAAAGTATTCCCTTGCCTAAGGAAAAAAAACATGTGAATTGAAATTCGAACCAAAATAAGAGCAAGCATGCAAAGGCATTTCTGACCATCTTTGATTTTAAATGAGCCACATAATCTTTCAACTAGATTTTCGCTTGACATCAGGTTAGTTTTTTTTTTCAGTTACCCCACAGGCCTGAAAGCTATTAATTAAAAAAAATAAAAAAATTTCTTATATCAAATTACACATTTTCCCATTAACGATAAAATATATACTTTATGCCCTTCACCTTAAAGCTTGAGAGCCACGGATGAACATGATTGAGAACATTATGCTGCTAAATTTAATTAAATGAAACAAACATGAGAAGTCCAGTGAGATAGAAGAGCATTCACCAAATTATTTCACTTGACCAAATCCTTCTCGTAAAAATTGCATCTGTTCATCTCTACTTTTTGTAAAACAGACCAAACCTTTTTAACTCTCACAAAAATAAACTTTAAGTTCAAAGAAGGAAAAAACTGATGGAGAACAGTCAAGCTGTTTGTCAGGAGATATCACATATTTACCCCATATAGTTACCTGTACAAGCAACATTTGGCTCGCTTTTGGCTTTGCTTAAATCAGATTTCTCTTCTCTTCTTTTACGAAAATACTTTACAAGAAAACACTCCAAGTCTCTCATATCCTTTCTAAGACATTGTAACTCAAATAAAATATGTGTCAAAGAAATGGAAATAATTTTTTGTTCAACAATGTTTGAGTCCATTAGTGAATGAAATGTCATCCATTCATTCTGTCTGGAATATTATTTATACATGAGATGTTAACCAAATATTAATTATATATGGTTCAGAAGAATGCAATATGTGGAAATGCTTAATAAATTTCCATAAAATGTGTTCTTTGGTGAATAATGCTTTACTTCACTTGACTAGCTTTAAAAATTCTGCTACTTCATTTCCAGTCTGTACAAAAAATTTTGTTCCACTATCATGCTGTACTGCTCTATCTTCAAAATACTCCACTTTTAAAAGGTACATCAACTGTTTCTAATCAAAGAAAATATCAGATTTGCAAATATTTTGCTTAAATGTAGAGAAACCTTTTTTCCAAATGAAAGGAACTGTTGCAAATGACACGACATATTTATTGGTTAATACTCATAAGCTACATTCTGTATTTTTTTGTTGAACAAAAATTCCAGGCAAGTTTTGGTAATTTCAAAAAATTTTTAAAATTCCATTTAAGGTTTATACTGTTAACGTTGGCAAAATTGACATTAAACCAAACATTACACTGGGGTAAAATTATGCATAAACAGTTTAACAAAGTCTTAATAGCTGTAATACCAACATGATGTCTCAGGAACATGATTGAACATAAATTTCATAGACCTATTTGATATAACTTAACATGCATTGTGTTCCATTAACACAGTAATGCCTGTTTTCTTTTTTTGTTTTTTTTTTTTTCGACAAAAAACCTAAAACTCCAAGAGATCAGGCCAGGTTAGAGGAAAAAGAACAGATCTACATTAATTACCAATTCAAACACATGAATTTTAAATTAAAATTGAGATTTATCATATTATCAATATCATCATCATCATCATCATAAGTGGCACTAGATATATATTATTATTAGAGATATTTACCTTTAGTAGAACTGTGAGATCTCCTCACATTTGATGTTTGCAGTTTTGACCCAACTGTTGTACATGACCCTTTTGATCCTTGAAGTGACCCTGGAGTTTGTTCTCTTATAGACTTCTGTCCACCATTAATAGCCATTACTTTCTCTTTGCCTGTAGTCTTCTGTGGAAGGGCTGTCCTGCTAGGTTTCCGTGCACTTGAATCTGACCTAGCCAAGCCAGATTCTCTCTTCACAGCAGCGGTTACTGGCGGTCGACTTCCTACAGTATTATGCCGTGTCTGAACAGCGGCACTGTCTGTTTTCTTTTCCAGTTTGGCAGCTGCTGCTGGTTTTGAAATCTGTGATGGTGTGCTTAGCTTCTTAACAGGAAGTTTTGAGGTTTTAGATTCCTCTTTGGGTGAATGCTCTATGACCTCACCACTTATTGGTCTTTTACTGACTGTTGGACGAGGTACAAATGATTTCGGGTCAGGTATTGTAGCCAGAGTGTGTCGTTTCTGTATTTTAACTTCCTGCTTGTGTCCTGTATTAGGCCCAGTTCTGTTTGAAAATTTACCCTCAGATGATAAGTTAACTTTTTTATTTTGCTGTTGACGTATTTGTTCTAGCCTAGACTGCTTCTGTTGTGTTGTTTTTGATGTGCTGTTACCTCTTGTTGGTATTGATGTTGCTTTGGACTTGGGAGCTTTGAGAGAGCTAGGGATTCTTTTTGTTGCAGACATCTTTTTTCCTTTGCCGTCACTTGTTCCAGTCGATGACAATGAGGCTTGTGATCCGGAGAGACTATCTGTGTAGTTAGAACCTGTATCTACCACTTGATCTTGGGATTTAATTGTTTTGTTAGCAGCCTTGATAACACTGGCTTGTGACAAACTGTCAACACAAGTTAGAACAAGGGGCCTTTTCACTGTATTATTAGGTATTGGCTTAACAGGTGCCAATATCGACAGAATATCATCATCAAACACCACATCATAATCTCCACTTCTATTGAGGGTACTTTCAGTGTTAATATCACTGCTACTGCTACATCTCCTCAGAGGTTTTTTAGGAGTTGATGTCAAACAAGGCCAACTTCTCAACTGTGTTGATTCAGTATCTCTACAAATCAGAGATTCCCCATTCACCAATTCATTGCTGTCAGACATTTTCCGCAGTGTGTCAGATTGCGCATGAGGATGTTTCTGTTGAGTTTGGTCTTTGCCTAGTAGCTTAGCAGAATTGCCAGTTTCGCTTCTATTCTCATTCTCAACTTCAGGAATGATAGGCCTTTCTCTACGCCCCAAATCCAGGCAGGCTGTTATAGCTTCTGAAAAATGATCAGCACAGTCCAGGCTTGGACAGCTGCAATATCTTCCTTGAATAAAGGGATCCTCTTTGGCAGAGAGATGGGATGCACATGTGTATTCACTGTTCTCAGAATTTGATGTTATAGTTAAGTGTCCTTTCTGGATCATGAAATGAGTGTCCAAGGAAACAGCATGTCCCACTTTCTTGTGAAGGGCAATTTTCTCTCCGTTGGTAGAAATGTTATCTTTACTTGGTTGAACACCATTCTGTTCATTTGAGGAATTCTCCAATGAAGACTGTGCAAAAAGAGTTCCCTGAAGATCTCCTGCTAAATTATTTATTCCATCTCTTGGCAAGTCAAGAACACCTGTCATCTTTAAAGGCTTATTGGGATCATCTCCAACCGAGATGTGTTCTTTATTCACAGCATCAAATGCCGTTTTCTCGTTCCAAACATTATTCTCCAAATCACCCATGTCACTGCTCAAGTAATACTCGTTTGAGTCAGGGAAATTTTCCTTGAAAATTTTAGGCATCGAACGCGAGCGATTAACACAATTCTGTTCCCAGGTGTTCCTTTTCCCGCTCTTTTCCGCATTGTGTAAAAATATATTTAAACCCTTCGCCAGTTGCTTGGCTTTTAGGAACAGATATCGATCCAAAGAGACAGACCGGTGTCTTCTCGTTTGTTTCATCGGCTTGTTAATGTCTCCCTGTTTAGAAACCCCGCAATTATTTGTGCGCATTACTTTCACATCACCAGAAGACATGCTTTGCTCGCTCTGATTACCTTTTTTATTCTTCTTTTCCGGTAATTGTGGACTGCAAGGGCTTTCTATCAGGTTTAATCGCGACAGTGTAATGTCATCGGCAGTTCTAACTTTGTGCGAATGTACAAATATCCCGTGTTTATTCTTGCATCGAAAATAACGCACTCCACGAACACAACCGTCGTTTTTGCCACAGGCTTCGTCTAACACAATCCCACACCATTCGCCCTCGGCAAAATGTGTTCTCCCTATATATTTCAGGAGGCCAAGTTGAGGTTTCTTATTTAGTATGCATACGACCCTATCTCCTTGATTTGGGCGCTTCTTCGACAATCCGCCATTTAAACTCCCGTCGGGCGAGGATAAAGAAGATGGAGTGACGCTATTGTTGACCTTTATAAGAGGAACAAAAAGAACATTTTTTCTACGCTTGCTAATCAACAGAAAATGAAAATTGAAAGACGATGTGACACAAAAACAAATGCTGAATAAACGTGACTTATGAGCAAGTCAATAATATCGACATTTTCGCTATAGCAACGTCCATCTTTCGTGTGTGTCCAAGTGTCGAAGCGTGCCTAAAACAATAAATTTTCGTTCCAAAATCTAAACATACTTGGAGGTAAATATCAAACTGCATTTTCATCACAACACAGATTGGCAACTGAAAGAAATAACTTTTACAAGTTGAAGTTTGAATAAGTCCCTCCTCTTGACCTGTGTCAAATAGGGGAAAGAGAATGGAAAGACACGTAAATAGAATCAAACTACGGCAATCCTTGAAGTAATTATTGGCCCTTGACACTAACAAAAGCTGATGTAACCTCGTTGGCGTGAATTTAAAATGAAGGAGAGAAAGTACCATTAAAAGACATGGTTGACGGACTTACCAAATTCGCTCGCACATCGTTAATTCTGTAGTTTACTCCGAGAGTTTTCATCTAAGTTCAAATTTTCCACTTGAAAACGCTTTCTTATCACGTTAGAAAAGAATACATTAATATGAACAAAATGGTTTGAAACAGAATTCTGTTCGTGTGTCTTTAACACCAACAAATTTCTAACTGCACGCTTCGCCAATCAATGTGTTTTGATGAAGGGAAATATGCAAGCTACTGGTTTTGAACACGAATCCCGCAGGGAAATCTTTTGATATGAATGACTGAGTTGTAAACTTTAACGATAATATTGTAATAAGATTAAGAATCTTAATGCACTCACAGACAGAATTTTTTGCCCGCTGCTGGCGTGAACATTATGATATCGTCGCTCGGTGAATGGTGAAATCGACACCAGCAAAGGTTGGAATACCGATTAAATTGGAACCCTACCTCTCGTAAATAATGTCGCTTCTTCTTCCGTTTGTTTGATTTGATTCGTTTTAGAGAACAGTCTTCGTTTCGCTAGGATATCCGAAAACCAGTCGATTAATGACTTGCACGCTGATCGAATGCCTAAAGTCTCATCGTGAGCGAGAGAGCGAAGAGCAGATCACGGGCTTACCTTGTCGACCAATAAGATGTGAGGCAATAGCTAATTTGTGACAAAATTAATGGGGGATCAAAGCTATTGAAAAGAATATTCGTAATAGTTTGCATTCTTGTTCAAATTGGCATAAGTAATTTTAATGTCCTTTCTTTTATAACCTCCTACCCACACATTTTATCTCGCATCAGAAGTAAAAGCATATTTTGAAAAGAGACTCTTAACCTTTTTACCACAGACAGTAGAATGGAAGTTAAAAACAAAACTGCTCATTACAAGTTGGAAAATTCATTGTCGTGATGTTATTCTTCAGCCTAAAAAAACAGCGGATTACCGATATAGTCCTTGATTTTTTTCTCTCTTTTTTTTTTTTTTTTGACGCAGCTTTGTTAAAATTAAAGATAATTATCTCTCAGAGACCTGTCTTGCTATGTATCGCACGACTGCAGTTAGATGGCTTCGCAAAAGGAATGTATTATCATCGACTTTGACCGAAGCTGACATATGCCACAGCATTGATAAAGTGTAGCACTTATCTCCGAGGAAAACAACTTTTTCATTAGATCGAGCCAATATTCACTTAATAGAGATATCTCTGGAATCCTAAGTTATGCAAGCAAAACAAAAGGGTGTGGTAAGGGTCTGGATGACCCCTTTGTTCCTGGCGTCCAGAGTCTATTGAGCCCTTGAGTCAAGGGCCCTACGCACAAAACAAAGCAGTATATTTTTAAATGATCAAAACAAAAGATAAACCATACGCTTTCCAGGTAAAAAACGTGGTTTCCTTGCACCCAAGATCTCAAATGCACGGCGAATGAGTTGTCAAAGGCCATTTATCTTCCTGGTAAATTTTTTAAAGAAAAATTCAATTTGTTTTAAAAGAAAAATTAATTAATAGCGAGTTACATGACTGCGAACTCTTCCTTTAGTCATTGCCATTATTTTTTCATTGATTTATTTCCTTAGCTTTGCGTAAAACCAATTGGCCATTGTGTCAGAATCAAGGACTCGAAATTAAATTTGGCAAAATAAATCAGGAGTGATGGAGGAGCAAAAAGGGAACAATGCCTCGTGGAATCCGTTTTTGAGTGGAAATTTGCCAAAACGACCCAGTTTGAGCTCATTGCTCTGCAAGATTTGCCGAAAGACAGTAACGGTTTATGCGTAACCGGCTACTGGAATTACAATATTCTGAAATGAATATAGCAGGATTTACATAATGAATCAAAAGGTATAATCAATTAATCACGGGTGAGTGACTAATTAATCGGATGAATGTTTGCATTTCTTCAGTTTAAATTGAGCGATAATATTGTTTTGACCTTAATGCGCTTCGGTTTGGATAAAAAATAAAAGCATGAGTACTTTTAGTTTAATGTAATCATATAAGTTATTGTTTAGTTTGGAAGGCTTTTATGCCCATCGCTTGCACCTATGAGAAGTTAACACCTTGAAATAAAAGTCGAGTAAACGTTACCGTAATGATTTTATTAAGTACTCAGGTAACGTAAAATTGTCACCCAACTGGCTGATGATCTCGGATAAAGCATTAGAATCATCAAAAAATATCGAGAGATTGCTCTCTATACAAAAGATCTCGAACCCGCCATTGACTGACTACATCCACCGATCCCCGGTTGAGCGATAGTTTATTCTCTCTCTCTCTCTCTCTCTCTCTCTCTCTCTTACGGCGCAAATGGTAAACCGACTTCCTACCTTTTTTCTGCATGTCGAGGACGAATTAGGTTTTTCTTGCCTCTTACCCACAGTCCATAAAGTTGATGGCCTTTTTGGACTCGAAAAACTACTACTTTTCCTTCGCTTCTTCTCTGCAAGAATTGATGGATCACTCTTGCTTCTTCTATATTCCCGACTTTCAATGCGATGAAATTCGCTTGTAAACTTTGGAAATGTATCTCGTCTTTTTAGTCTTCTATCAGCCGCCAAACGAGCGCTTCTAGGTCGAGAGCTGACCGAAGATATTCTTGAACTATGAACAATTGAGGAAGGACAACTCTTGGAATATTTATCTCCGTGGCCTTGTTCGTCGTCTATCATATTTTCCTCGTGACTCCATAATCTTGGCAAACCAAGGAGTCTTTTGTTTGAGTTGTAAGACGTTGAGTTATTACGAGAAAGGTTTTTATGAGGTGAACTTCTTGTGCTGTTCCACGGCGTCGCCGGGACAGAATTCTTCCTCAATCCATGATAAGAAGAAATTGGCATCTTTGATAATGTTAAAAAAAAACCGAGCTTGACTGGACTGATCCCAATTATCGGGAGTAGACAGCCTCTTCAATTTAGCACAGAACTTAAAACCTACTTTAACTCAAGCAAAAGCTGTTTAGAATTCATCATTTCTAACGACAGCTTTGTAAGTACGACTTTGGAATGAGTTCACGTTGATGAAGATTTCGTCGAATTGAAAGGAATATTTGCTTTAGATCTTTAAGACGCTACGCGTTGCCACGACTGCCTTCTGTCTTGTCCGGCCCCAACAAAGAAGTTAGAATTGGTCCTATTCGATCCATAATTTGTCCCGTCGGTTAAACTGTAGTATCCCGTGGCGGCGTTAATGAGAATCCTTTCTAGAAGTTCATGGAGTTAACCAACCATCTCCTTGTTCTACATAAACCTCGGCAACTACGACTAAAAATTCATTTAAGTCTAAACCAGCCGGTACCAGATAAACACTTGCAAATCCAAGACTGTGAGGCACTTGATTACAAAACCCTTAAACTTTTACAACTCTTCTTGCGGTAGAATAATGTAACAATTTCACCGTCTCATTTTTCTCTGATTTACAATTGACGAAGCGATTGATGATAACTGGACGCTTTCAAGCAGGACTAAACAGTTGTAACTTTTTCCTGGTGGCGAACTCTTGCAGAGAAATACTTGTGTCACAAAACTGTGCATGCATAAGATAGTATACGTCCTACTGATGTAAACAACTCAGTTCAGAGGCTATTGTTTGCAAAGAAGATTTCAAACACAATGGTCTCGTTCCTAAATAAACGTTGCTGACCATTAGCACATCTGTTGTACCATTTCTGTAGAAACCATTTCTGTCATTTTGAAGTCAAAACAGAAGACACATCAGCGAGGGAGCCACTGACACGGGTCTTATTGTTTTCTCGCTTTGCCTTGTTTTGACTTTTTGTGTCAAGTGACGTAAGGTAGTTTGCACTTTGCATTGAGTGTCTTAATTTGTTCAGTGTTATATGTAAATAGAAACAGAGTAATTTACTGCGTTTTTCAAATAAGTTAGTCTTAGCCTTGTCTTTTTTTCTCCCAACTTCAACCCTTTTCTCAGTTGTCAGTCATTTCACGCACGGGCTAGCAAAAATAGAGATGTTACCAGATTTGCGGGACGAAACCAGAAACATTTTTGTACCAGAGTTGATTTGCCGCAGTTTCCTACACAGGTGGAGAAATTTGGGGGGGGGGGGAAACTTGGGTGAAAGAAATGGGCAGGGGAGGGGAGAGGAGGGAATAGGCAGGGGAGGGAAGGATAGGATGCCGCATCGGTAGAAGAAAACATATAAGATATTTATCGGAACTTTAGAGATTGTCTGGCTAGATTTTGGGAGACCACAATTCCACTTTTATATCGATTTATTCTCGTTACCATTGGATTTCTGGCGCGTCCAAAACTTTGAGGAACATCAAGAGAAAACTACGTCCCATTACTTTCTGGTGGGAAAGTGGATTAACATTTTTATCATCCGCTCCAAACTTTCGTAGAAATTAAAATTGGCTTTCACGCCAAGCACCTGTCACTCCGGCACGTATCCCATTAGAAGGGAAGACAATACCCTAAAACACTTACATAACTTCCTCTTTGCCTTCCCCGAGTTTCTCTTGTTTCTCTCTGCCGTATAAGCGGCGTGGTTTCTAAGCCAGAATTAGGTAACGCTGCATTTCCTCCCCGACTCTCTTGCGCTTGAGTTGATCTCCTGATACGCTTTCTTCTCTACTATGGATATCCTTTCCATTGTTCACAGTTTATCGTTAACGACCATTGTGTATGCATTGCTTCTCCTTATTCCAACTGTTATTGTGACAGTAAGTACCATCGATATAGAAATCTTTATTTTAGAAATAATATCGTTTTTGTGATCTTAATTATTTTCTCGCTTGACGGTGACTCCGATTTCTCCCCGATTGTTCCACAGATTCTCATAGGAATTCGCATGACGACCTATGATGCTGTGCCTATAATTTCTAGGTTCGACAGTGAAAAATATTACAAGGATCCAAACAAAAACAATGCCACCTATCCCTTCCCAATCATGGAGGAAGCTGGCTCCATTGATCTTTCGGTGATCGTGCCTTCGTACAACGAAGAGGAACGACGTGAGTTTGATTAATTGGGTCTTTTATTTGTTTAGTTGTTCTACTGTCTGATGCAATCTTGGATTGGCTTCCTCAATGTTTTTGCCATAAAGAGACAAGAAAATCAATTAAACAGATCAACACTATCTGTAAATTTTTCTCCACGCTGCAATTCCTGAAATTGAGAACATCGGGGTTTTGTGCGTTCTGAGGAGGGGGTCACATTGGATTCATTGGGGATCCAGAATCCTTAACATCCAGCTCTCCCCCCCATTTATATTACTTTAAGTATAATCTTCAAATTTTCGGAAACTCAATGCAAGGGTCTGTACAATGTTGTACACTATTTTTTTCATGAGTGTTAGCTTGGAGAGGGGGTGGCATGTAGCCTGGGTTGATCCTGGGATGCCTGTGACACCTTTACTCTCTCCGCCCCTTGTGAAATTATTCCTTTGTTTTGTGTCAATAGAAACTTAATCATTTAGGTTGACAGAAATGCAGGAATTCAAAGAATCACACGACATGAATTATTTTTCACTGCTAGATACTCAATTTGTTGGTCCTTCTTGTGATGGAAGAGCAGCATAAGCTTCTTCACTGAAGGGGATTCAGAAATTCTTAACTGAAACTCCAATAAAAATCCTTACACCACAAGGGGGAAAGCTTCAAGCAAGAGAAAAAACCTTTTGAAGCCAGCTGATGGCAAATAAGCTGGCTTCAAATCAATACCAATAACGTTTCCCACCAATAACGTAGCTCCATTTTCTGCCTTTAAAAGCACACACAACCCACAATTCCTCTATTCGCTCTGATTAAGGGCTAACGCTCGAAACATCAGCTTTTGTAATCGTTATGGTGGCCAATTTACCATTTCAACTTTGTTGATATATCCAAATTATTTGGGTTCAAATCAGCTGGCATTTACTCAGCTTTCAGCCTTTATTCACTATATTACCACTAGAATTTATAAACTTTTGCTTAAACTGATCAATTGAATTTGAATGAGGCCTTTTTCTTTGCATAAGAACATTTAAGGTTGTGCTGTAAGAAGAGCTTAGGGGCCACAGGCAACTAACTTTTGTTGTTGGATGATGTACGACTTTGTGTTTTTGAAAGCTTTTAAGAGTTTGCCACAGCAGATTTCTTAGATAACAGCCTTTGAGGCTTACAAACAATTTTTTAGTATAACAGTGAGATCTTATGTCCCTAATGAAGAGACAAGGCAACAGAACTTTCAATTTATCATCTTTAACTTTTTTGGATTTGTTCTCAGTGCCTATAATGTTGGATGAAACATTTGAATATCTGGAAAATGAAAAGGTAAAGAGGAAATAAGCATGAAGTACATTTTCATTAGCTAAATTTACACTCAATAATGCCTTTATTATCAATTTTACTGTACCTTGTCTGGTTTGTGTTCATTGTTTTAATGAGCATTCAATGAATTTATTTTGGGTGAACTCTGCTTTGATACAATTTTGCAACAATAAAGTGACTATAAATTGATTTCACTGGAATTTTGCTTTTTTTGGCTTATTTGATTTTTTTTACTCCTTTACAGAGAAAGAAGCCATCTTTTACCTACGAAATTATAGTTGTAGATGATGGGAGCAGAGATGCAACATCTGAGGTTGGTGAAATAGAAATGGTTCCAAAAAAAGGCAATCTGGTTTGATTTCTAAAAAAAAGATATTAAGCTTGATACATATATGTGGCTACAGTTTTAAGAGTCCTTTTACAACTAAAGGTCAGCACACACAAGGGGACTGGTCCTTGCGACTAGTCCATGTGACCAGTCCCAGCGACAAGTCTTTGAAGGGTTTACACGAGGGGACCTGTAGCAGGGACTAGTCCCTTAAGGCGTTC